GAGACGATCGCTCGGTGAAAATGAGAATCTGCGAATGCAACATGTGGAACACGGAGAGTGGAATATGTAAACAAACCGGTTAACGTAACCCCCTGGGTGCACTCTGCATGCTAACTGTTAGCAGAGCTAGTGAAATCTCTGAAAACATCTGAGCACTTTTGCAAACATGTTCTATGTTGACAACCTGACCAGACATACGTCGCGACATTCGCGGCTTAAAACACTGGTAAAAGTGTAGCTGGTGACAGAAAAACGGGGTATTTTAAAACTACACCACCACCATTGCTGCCTGTGATTTGATCTGCATTCTGGGATACCTGGCTGCCCCAAGTCTACACAAGCAATCGATTATCTAGGATCGACCTGTTTGTTTGCTGTGCAAAGTAAGTCAAATCAAATGTTAGAGAAGCTGCATGGGCAGCGTTAACCCCGCCCCCTGAGTTTGATGGGTGAGGCTGACAGATAAAATTATTTCATGATGAGAGCCAGGCGCCAGGACTGCCAAAATGAAATAAATAAATATATCATTAAATAATTAATTAAATGTGTCAATAATTAATTAATTACATGTGTCAATTAATTAATTACATGTGTCAATTAATTAATTACATGTGCCATAACTATTTATTTAATTAATTAATTCCAATTTTAATTAATTATTGCCACATTTAATTATTTAATGGTGTATTTAATTAATTCATTATGGCAGTCCTGGCATTCGATACCCGACGGGCAGGGCTGAGATGGATTTTGGTGGCCCAACTCGAGAAATCGCTAGCCCCGGGACGTCGGGCAGGCGGTTTTGCGAGCCCTGGACATCACAAACATTTTCTGTAAATTCTGTGAATCTCAGGCAAATCGACTTGTGTGAAGTGTTTCCAGCTGGGTGTTGTGTAGCTGGAGTCGAGTGTTTTGGCTGATGCATGAAACGATACATTCTTACACATGAGGAACGTTTTCTTTGTATTTATCACACGGCGTGGTGCGGGGAAAAGCCTTTCTAAGGTTTGAATCTGAGGTTTGTTCTTTGCTCCTCATCCGTAAATTCTCTCCACACTCTGCCTCTGTGATCACTCTGTGATTCTTGTGTAGGTGGTAGCCGAGGTTTGTTGTCTTTGAGTCTGTGGTTTGTTCCATAATTTGCATCGTACACTTTTCTGGTCCATGTCAGACTTTTCCTAACCAAACCACGTCCGTGCTACAGAGCTAGCCCCTCGTTTAGGAGTAAGGTCCTTGATTTATTTGGACTGGTCCTTCTGTTTGTCATTTGTCAGTTTATTTTGAAAAGTCTCAACAGGATCTTGAGTAGGGATGGGTATCGTTTAGGTTTTATCTGATACCGGTGCCAAACCGGTGCTTTTGAAACAGTGCCGGTGCTCAAACGGTGCTCAAACGGTGCTCAAACCGGTGCTTAACGAATGGAGAACACAAAATTGGTCCAAAAACCTCTCATGTTCAGCTATTTTTTGTAAAAAGATAACAATGTTAGCCTTTTCTGCAGCTATGGGGCATATATGGTATCACTGTTGGCTGGAAGCAGTGCTTAAACAATGGAAAAAACACAAACTTTGTCCAAAATCCTCTCATGTTTAACTGTTTTCCACTTTTTCTTTGGTCATTTTAGCCTTTTTGGCCAGGGTGAAGGGCAGAGATGGGCAGTAACGCGTTACTAGTAACGCGTTACTGTAATCTGATTACTTTTTTCGAGTAACGAGTAAAGTAAGGGATTACTATTGCAAAAACGGTAATCCGATTACCGTTACTTTCCCGTAGGAATGCTGCGTTACTGCGTTACTAAAACTGATTTTTTGCGAGAATGTCTCACGACAGTGACGTAAGCAAGTGCGACGTTAGTGACAACAGCTGTGTGCAGATCAACAGTGGATCATATATCGAGTGTGGGAGAGAGTATGAGCGTGCAGCGTTTAAAGCGTGGAAGTACTGACCTTACTTTGAGTTTGATTCCATAAAAAGTGACAAAAACATTAGTGTCCGCTGTGCGTGGGAAGAAAACTTCTTTTTACAGCGAAAAAAACCCCTAAACTTCCAACAAGCACTGAGTAGCTACGACGTAATGGGAAACTCACAGAGACACTGCCGTATCCTTCCACTGACCGCTGCACACCTGCACCAGGGTAAACCTCCGCCTACTGCAGTCCTGCTTTACAGGTGAAAATAGAGCAACAGGACCGCTGAGTCTTTGACTTTATTTATGTTCTGCTGTGTTTTACTTGCATCTATTTGAAAGACTGAGTGTAAACACAAAAAATTATTTTATTTTATGTGCTGGAATGTGCAGAAAATAGGTTTAAATGTTAAACTAATTTATTCAAGTCAGAGAATGTTGCATATAATTAAATTTTTGCTTGATGCATAAAGTTAAAAGATTAAAACTGATAAAACAAGTTTTAAAAAGATGCTTTTCCATTTGATTACATTTTGTATGATGATTATGTAGAAAAAGTAGAATTGGGCTGAAAGATCTATCGCTTTATCACCTATTCAGGTTGTAAATCGTGTTTTTAAAAAGTAACTAAGTAACTAAGTAACTAAGTAATTAATTACTTTTGAAAATAAGTAATCAGTAAAGTAACGGGATTACTTTTTTGGGGAAGTAATCAGTAATTAGTTACTGATTACTTTTTTCAAGTAACTTGACCAACACTGGTGAAGGGAGTATCTGCCATCAAACAAGAAGACAGCCGCATGTAGCTATGATGATGTTTGCTAGTTCACCTTACATGCATTAATGTAATAACGTGGTTAGCCTACTCAACGTAAATTACACTCGAACAACATTAAGCTACTCACGCAGAGAAGAACGGCTGCTGCTGCATCATCATCCTCATCATTTCTGCTACACTGGCAGGGCTAGGGGCCAGGACTCTCCTCTTCGGGTTTTTGGGGGATGTTGCATAACTGGCAACCCACCCACAGTAGATGCGCTCGGTGTGAGGTCTCGCAGCAAGCTATCAAATACAGCACATTTCTCGGCTTTTAAAAAAAACGCTATGCGTCGCCAGGTGTTTCATTGGATTCCAGGTGTTGCCTCCTTTGACAGTATCACAGTATCAGCTTAAAGCACTTGTTGCTGCTGAGTTTGCATCTTTTGCTGTGAAGTACAGCCAGAGTTTTGACCGCTTCGCCTTGGACATTTTAATCTGTAGCTCTGCTCTTAAAGAACGTACGTACCTGGCCCCGCCTACTATCCTCGGAAACGTAAAATGATTGGCTAGAAGTGTATCACAGCTCAGGAAAAAAAAGCACCGAAATAAAGCACCGAAATGTGCGCTGCTTTTCGGTCTGGTTACTACCGTTTATGTCAGAACCGGTACCCATCCCTAATCTTGAGCTTTATTGTGAAAGGTTTATGTAGAAAATAAACAAACGGATGGATTTACCATTGTTGTTGCTAATGACTACGCCTGCCTGCCTGTAGTGTGGTTATTTCAAATATGAGAGGAAGCGAGAACTTGTGACCATCAAAACGATGATAAAAGAAACAGTTTATTTTGTGACACCACGAAACAAACAATAGCGCATAATATGAAACGATAGACGTCCACATATCGTCATAGATGGTTGTATCGAACAGCCCTAGCAGAGAACGCGTCGATGCTCAGAGAATAACCTGAAGCTGAACATCACCCAAAGAAGTCATAATGGACTGCAGGAGGCACAGACAGCTCCACTGCCCTCTCATGACACCATCACCCTGGTGTAAAAGGCCCAGCAGCTGCACGTCCTTTGTGTCCTGAGGAAGAATAACCTGGACCAGAAGCTGCTGCTGGCCTTCTACCCTCCTCATTGGAGAGCGTGCTCTCCTCCTGCCTGCTGTTTGTACTCAGGGGCCACGACTGAGAACAGGAAGGCTGCAGACAGGGTCATTAACACCCCCAAATCATCACTGGCTTCCCTCTGCCACCCCTGGAGGCCATCATCAGTTCCTCCTGTCTCAGGAAAACCAGGTCACATCATTACAGCTTTAAGTGTTTAAGGTGCTAACTAAAAATAAAGACAAGATGATAGTTTATTAAATTTTAATGACATTTGCAGATTGTTTGGGTGAAGTTTAATAAACTCCTTGCTATCTAAAATATAACAGGACACCGGAGTATATTCTCGAGCATCTCACACTTCTGATAATCAGCTGTCTGTCTGACGTTTATTCAGCTGTGTAAAAACTATAATTTTAATCTCAGCCAAACCGATTTACTCAGGAACAAATAAAATACTGAAAAAAGCCAAACAATAACATTTTAAGTTATCTAAGTGACTCATATATCATGTTTAACCTGAGTAGGAAAGACGGCGGTGGGTTTGAAAACGATTTGCCGGGAGTCCGGTGTTCTCACGGCTCTAGTTAGCCTAGCCCCCGGCTAGCTATCGAGCTAGTGGGTAACAGACGTCTCAGAAAACGTCGGAGCGCTTTTGAAAATATGTGGTGTCCTGATAAACTGAGCAGATATTTGAGGTTTACACAGCTACATTCTCGCCTGAAAATATGTTAAACGTTTATTTTGTGACCCAGAAAGAATAATAAGAGTAACATTAAAACTAACTAGCTGCCGCCATTGTTGGAAGCTGCGCTGGGCCGTGCTATGAATTCTGGGACAGGTTGGGCCACAAAGGTTTTACACCCGTCCCATCCTTCAAATCTGGGGAAAAGAAGGACGCGTTTGTCGGCCGCACTTGGAGGAGTCTTCAAATTTGTACAGCCTTTGTCAAACTGCTGTGACGTAATCGGTCTACAAATGCGTCCGCCGAAGGATGCAGGCCCTCGTTCTTCCTGAAGCCCATTTGTGAGGTCAGACACTGTTTGACGAGAACTTTATATTTAAGTACTGTTGTCCAGGCAACCACCAACCAAACTCAGCCTATCAGATTGCCGGATGGAGACGTGTGATTGGTCACTCCAGAGAACACGTCTCCATGCTCTAGAGTCCATCAGAGGCTTTCATTGTGCTTGATGATGTAAAGCTTGGTGCAGCTCGGTTGCCATGGAAACACATTTCATGACGCTATCTGAACACCAGGTGAAGTTTGGTCGTCTGTAGTGATTTCCAGAAAGTCGGCGACCTCTGTGTCCCTCAGCATCCACTGACCCCACTCTGTGATCGTAACTCTTCATCGCTGTTCCACTAACAGTGACAGTGGAACATGTAGCAGTGGGGAAAGTCCCACCTGGACTCGTTGCACTGGTAGCATCCTGTCACAGTCATACGCTGTAGTTCACTGAGCTCCTGAGTCATCCTTCCACAGATGTTTGTAGCAGCAGCCTGCATGCCCAGGTTTTATACACCTGTGGTTGTGACCAGAGATGGGCAGTAACGCGTTACTTGTAACGCGTTACTGTAATCTGATTACTTTTTTCAAGTAACGAGTAAAGTAAGGGATTACTATTGCAACATCTTCTTCACACGCTTTGAGGTCACTGCACCCTATGCCTCAGAGGAACAGCTACACCATACAGCCCACAGCAGCAGTACCATCATCACTCTGGAGGAGCATGAAGTGAGGCGCACCCTGCGGGCTGTTAACCCGAGGAAGGCAGCCGGCCCAGATGGCGTACCAGGACGTGTGCTGAGAGACTGCGCAGACCAGCTTGCCTATATTTTCACCAGGATTTTTAACCAATCCCTTGAACAGTCAAACGTCCCACCCTGCCTCAAGACCTCCACCATAATACCCTTGCCCAAGAAATCTCATATCTCTAGCCTAAATGACTATAGACCAGTGGCACTAACCCCGGTGGTGATGAAGTGCTTTGAGAAACTTGTGCGTTACCACATTACAGCAGCCCTACCCAGCAGCCTTGACCCACACCAGTTTGCCTACAGAGCAAACCGATCGACAGAGGACGCCATAGCAACAGCACTCAATGTAGCATTAACACATCTGGAGAGGCAAGGAAGCTATGTGCGTATGCTCTTTGTGGATTATAGCTCGGCATTTAATACCATTCTTCCATACAAACTGGACGCCAAGCTAAAAGACCTAGGGCTTCCTCACAGCACCTGTAAGTGGATCAATAGCTTCCTCACCGACCGCAGACAGAGAGTGAGAGTGGGATGTTACACATCTCCAGCCCTAAATCTAAGCACTGGGTCGCCACAGGGCTGCGGGCTTAGTCCACTGCTCTACTCGCTTTATACACACGACTGCACCCCCGCCCACCAGAGCAACGCCATTGTAAAGTTCGCAGATGACACTACTGTGGTGGGGCTCATATCTGGGGGAGATGAGTCTGCCTACAGAGATGAGGTGGAGCGGCTGTCTTCATGGTGCAAGGATAACAACCTTCTCCTAAACACAAAAAAGACCAAAGAACTCATAATTGACTACAGAAGACACAAGACAGAAATCCAACCACTAATCATCAGCGACGACTGTGTGGAGAGGGTGGCAGACTTCCGCTTCTTGGGAGTCAGCATAGAGGGAAACCTATCCTGGAGTGTGAATACCTCTGAGCTACTGAAAAGGACACAACAGAGACTGTACTTTCTGAGAGTGCTTAGGAAGAATAACATCACACAGAGACTGCTGGTGTCTTTCTACAGAGCCTCCATCGAAAGCATACTAACGTACTGCATAGGCATATGGTACGCTAGCTGCACAGTGGCTCAGAGGGAAGCACTCCAGGGAGTAATCAACGCTGCCCAAAGGACAATTGGCTGCCCTCTCCTCAAACTGAAAGACCTACACAGTTCCCGCTGCCTCAAAAGAGCCCATAACATCATAAAGGACACCTCACACCCTGGACACTCCATGTTCGAACTGCTGCCTTCAGGTAAACGGTATAGAACAACATACACAAGGACTAACAGACTCAAACACAGTTTCTACCCAATTGCAATATCATGTCTCAATGCTACTAAAAGTAGATGACTTTCATTGCCCCTGTTGTCATTTGTGCCCTTGATGTTGGAAGGCTTTCAGACATGTTTTGTTGGATGTGCTAACAAATTGACTGAGTGATTGATTGTTTGAGTGATATATCAACTAGGTCGTATGTTGAGTGTCTGTATGGGGCCTTAGGCCTGGATTGCTTGGGTGTATCTACGGTATGAGAATACTGTATTTTATATGTATTTCTATCTTTTATATCCTATCATTATAGTTTTTAAGTATTTAATTATAGTTTTTAAGTATTTATCTTTTGTGATGTTGCACTGACCAGAGACATCTTTCAATTTCATTGTACCTGTGACAATGACAATAAAGAATATTCATTCAAAATCAGTAATTAGATTACCGTTACTTTCCCGTAGGAACGCTGCGTTACTAAAACCGTGATTTTTTTGCGAGAATGTCTCACGACAGTGACGTAAGCAAGTGCGCCGTTAGTGACAACAGCTGTGTGCAGATCAACAGTGGATCATATATCAAGTGCAGAGAGAGTGTGAGCGTGCAGCGTTTAAAGCGTGGAAGTACTGACCTTACTTTGAGTTTGATTCCATAAAAAGTGACAAAAACATTAGCGTCCGCTGTGCGTGGGAAGAAAACTTCCTTTTACAGCGAAAAAAACCCCTAAACTTCCGAGCAAGCACCGAGTAGCTATGACGTAATGGGAAACTCACAGAGACACTCGCGCGGATTCTTCAACTGACCGCAGCACACCTGCTCCAGGGTAAACCTCCGCCTACCCCACTCCTGCTTTACAGGTGAAAATAGAGCAACAGGACCGCTGAGTCTTTGACTTTATTTATTTTCTGCTGTGTTTTACTTGCATCTATTTGAAAGACTGAGTGTAAACACAAAAACTATTTTATTTTATGAGCTGGAATGTGCAGAAAATAGGTTTAAATGTTAAACTAATTTCTTCCAGTCAGAGAATGTTGCATATAATTACATTTTTGCTTGATGCATAAAGTTAAAAGATTAAAACTAATAAAACAAGTTTTAAAAAGAGACTTTTCCATTTGATTACATTTTGTATGATGGATTACGTAGAAAAAGTAGAATTGGGCAGAAAGATCTATCACTTTATTACCTATTCAGGGTGTAAATCGTGTTTTTAAAAAGTAACTAAGTAACTAAGTAATTAATTACTTTTGAAAATAAGTAATCAGTAAAGTAACGGGATTACTTTTTTGGGGGAGTAATCAGTAATTAGTTACTGATTACTTTTTTCAAGTAACTTGACCAACACTGGTTGTGACTGGCACACCTGAAGTCTGTGGTTCAGTGGAGACTGAATACTTTTGACAGTATAGTGTTTCTGAGCTGAGTCTCAGGAGAAAGTGACACAAAGCAAACAAGTCGTTCTTACGAGGGACGTCAGAGAAAAATAAGAAACGGTTTTAGAAGCAGCAACTAACTCAAACTGACGTGAACGATCAGCAGTTACACAAATGTTTAGAGTTGCTGCACAAAGACGTCACAGCAGGTGATGCTTCACATACTTTTATCTTATAGGTGGAGAAGACTGCAGTGATCACCTGAAACAGTTTTGTCTGATTGGTTTGATTTCCTTTTAATCCACTTCATGCATATGACTCATTACAAGAATGATAAAAGTAACAAAAAGAAGCTTTGACAGAAAAGTTTCCTAAAATAACATTTAGAAGTGTCTGTGTAGGTTCTCAGTCATCCAGGTCATCGTAGTCAAAGGAGCTTGCAAAGAAAAGCGTCTGGACTTCTTTAAGTTGCTTGAAGACGTTTCACCTCTCATCCGAGAAGCTTCTTCAGTTCTAAGGTCAAATGGTGGAGAGTCCCAGATATAAACCTAGTGGGAGTTTCCCCCCACAGAGGGACAAAAGGACCCCTGATGATCCTCTAATCGCCTGAGCCAAGGTGTGAAACTGGGAGTGGGTCACAATCAGCCAGAGTTTCGGGTGAGCTCATTGTGAAACCTGGCCACACCCTATCATGTGAATTCCTGAGGTCAGATGGCTCAGGATGTGAGTGGGCGTTAAGGCGTCTGGGAAGGATCTCAAAACTGGATTATTCATGGCAGAGAGTTGGTGTCGTTGGCTCTTTCAAAGGAAGAGTACCCAGCCACTGGTACAGATATGTGGACGACACCTGGGTCAAAATCAAGACACAAGAAGTGGAATCCTTCACTGCGCACATTAACGCTGTGGATAAAAACATCAAGTTCACCAGGGAAGACAAAAAGGACGACTGTCTGCCTTTCCTGGACTGCGCCATGCACATTGAAGAGAACGGCAACCTCAACATCGAAGTTTACCGGAAGCCCACACACACGGACCAGTACCTCCTCTTTGACTCCCATCACCCTCTGGAACACAACCTTGGAGTAATCAGGACCCTACACCACCGGGCAGAACATGTTCCCTCTAAGCCTGAAGGGAAAAAGAAGGAACACACACATGTAAAGGAAGCACTCAAAACGTGCGGCTATCCTAAATGGGCGTTTTTAAAGTCAGCAAACAGGCACAGAAAAGAAGATCAGACACCAGCGAGGGAGGATAAGAAGGACAGACGCAACAACATTGTCATCCCCTATGTAGCCGGTGTATCAGAAAAACTCAGGAGAGTTTTCTCCAAGCATGACATCCCAGTGTATTTCAGACCCAGCAACACGCTCAGACACAAACTGGTTCACCCGAAAGACAAAACGCCAAAACACAAACTTAACAACGTGGTGTTTGCTGTACAGTGCAGCGAGGAATGCTCAGACCTCTACATTGGAGAGACCAAACAGCCACTTCACAAGCGCATGGCACAACACAGAAGAGCCACCTCCATAGGACAAGACTCAGCAGTCCATCTGCATCTTAAGGTCAAAGGTCACTCTTTGAGGATGCCAATGTTCACATTTTGGACAGAGAGGACAGATGGTTTGAAAGAGGAGTGAAAGAAGCCATCTATGTCCACTGTGAGCGACCATCTTTGAACAGAGGCGGGGTTTACGACACCAACTCTCTGCCATCTATAATCCAGTTTTGAGATCCTTCCCAGACGCCTTAACGCCCACTCACATCCTGGGCCATCTGACCTCAGGAATTCGCATGATAAGGTGGGACCAGGTTTCACAATGAACACACCCGAAACTCTGGCTGATTGGGACCCACACCCAGTTTCACACCTTGGCTCAGGCGATTAGAGGATCATCAGGGGGTCCTTTTGTCCCTCTGTGGGGGAAACTCCCACTAGGTTTATATCTGGGACTCTCCACCATTTGACCTTAGAACTGAAGAAGCTTCTCGGATCAGAATCAGAATCAGAATGGGGTTTATTGCCAGATGTTGAGGTTTACAACATTAGGAAATTGCTGCGGTGCTTCAGTGCAAACATAGTGTCATAAATAGCACTTAAATAGACATGAAAAAAAAAAATAAAAGTAGGAATAAGAATTAAAAGTGCTACGTAGAAAGATATGTGCATGAGATATACATGAGATGAGAATAAGAATAGAGTGCTACGTGGAAAGATATATACATGAGTGCAGGTGGTGATCAGTGCCAAACATGGAATGGTGCAGTGACACAGCGTAGGGTCATGTGTTAGTGGCGGGAACAGTCATACGGTTATTGTTCATGTGTCCGACAGCAGAGGGGAAGAAACTGTTCTTATGGCGAGAGGTTCTGGTGCGAATGGACCGGAGCCTCCTGCCTGAGGGGAGCAGGTCAAACAGACTGTGTCCAGGGTGAGAAGGGTCAGCTGAGATCCGAGCTGCACGCCCCAGTGTCCTGGAGGTGTACAGGTCCTGCAGAGATGGGAGTCTGCAGCCAATCACCTTCTCAGCAGAGCGCACAACACGCTGCAGTCTCTGTTTGTCCCTGATAGTGGCTCCAGCGTACCACACGGTGATGGAGGAGGTGAGGATGGACTCGATGATTGCAGTGTAGAATTGCATCATCGTCCGTGTTGGCAGGTTGAATTTCTTCAGCTGCCTCAGGAAGTACATCCTCTGCTGGGCTGAGATGGGATGAGAGGTGAAACGTCTTCAAGTAACTTAAAGAAGTCCAGACGCTTTTCTTTGCAAGCTCCTTTGACAACATTTAGAAGTGTAGTTCTAATATAAGTGTTGTAGTTTGATCAGCAGAGACCGGAGCTGTGAGCATGATTGTGGTGAAGCTTCACTCCTGAGACTGGACTTAGGAGATGCTGTGAAAGATTTAGAGAAAAGTCTGATTAGTTAAACTCAGAGGAAAACTTGTCCTGGTCAGCATGAGCTTGTGCATCGTCCCCTTTACTGGGACTGGTGTCAGAGTCATGTTTAATGAGTTTTACATTATGGGATTAAATTAATGTGTGAATATTTCTCCAGCTTTACAAAGTCTGGCACAGACCTTTTTGTCCATTGGAGAATGAAGAGAATAATCAGAGCAGGTCTGCATGAATAAAGATAAACATACACACAGTTATATAACGCTCTATGAAAGTCATTTATTCCTTTGGTTTGTGTTGTTAGGAGGGGGGTCGTGGGAGGGTCCATGTTTATATAGGCAGTGAGAGGCAGTCTGAAAATACAGATGTGACAAAGATAATGAAAATAGAAGAATCACACACGTGAATAATAAATAAATCTATAAAAAGGGTCTGACTGGTCCCCAGGAGAACCCAGAGATGGTACAGAAGCTGATTTGTTAGTGTTCCCTTTGATTGTGTCCTTTCCTTAATCTTTCCTACCTCTCCTCCTTCCTTGTGTGGTTTGATATTATGTTACGGGCCCCAGCAATGTTGCCACAATAACAAAGATGAAATCAAATGCTGGTCAAGTTCAGGAGCGATGAAGACACCGTGCACTCGGTTTGTCTTCCATCTCAGCAGTGGGCAAAAGTCCCCAAAGCAACTGGGGAGCACCTGACCTGACAGCAATAGTTCCACCTGTGATGTTGCTCCATGTTTCTGTCCTTCTGTGCAGTCCATGTCACAAAGTAATAGATTACAGAAATTAGTCATGTTTCCAAAATAATTTGGAGTCGTCATAGTCACTGAAAATAACAAATATACTAATGAATTAAATGATTAACATAAAAGTGGACACATGGTTGTCCCACTGCATGACCCACTGACTCTGAGTCAGCAGTGGGTTGATGGTAATAACTTCTCCTCTCCCTGTGCCGGCTCCTAAAGGCTACATAACTAATGCTCAGCTGGGACAAGAACTACATGTTGTGTTCAATAATAAAGAAGCAGCAAAGACAAAGATGTTTGGACCTGTGTGTGTTTGATCCTGCAGCTGGGGCAGCTGTCAGAAACCACATCTGTAATGTGGCTGACAGCTGGGACACTGTTTACATTCATACATGTTTTAGCTGCTTAGAGTTTATGCTGGAGGGGAACCTGCTCACCTTGGATATGTTTCTGGTTCTGCAGACAGTGCATCTGCTCATACTGGGACCAGTCTGCTTCATCAGGAGACTCGTCCTGTCCCCAGTGTGGAGAAAGATCCAGAGCTGGACTGCAGACAGCCAGTCAGAGCAGCTGTGTACAAAGTAAGACTGAACATCTGTCTGCTGATGGACTCATTTCTGAAAACTGGACTTCTTGTGTTGTTCAGACATTGAAGAGTTTTCTTTCTGTTTTTCTTTCTTTCAGCAGATGTTGGTCTGCAGGAGGTTTTAGATGAACATAAGATCAGTCTGAGGAGGAGATGTGAACGTGTGACTGAAGGAGGTGATGAAACAGGAAATAGAACTCTCCTCAACACCATCTACACGGACCTCTACATCACAGAGGGACAGAGTGAAGAGGTTCATACCCAACATGAGGTGAGGCAGCTGGAGACAGCTTCCAAGATGGACGCCCTCCATGACGCTCCAATCAGGTGCCAGGACATCTTTAAAGCCTTACCTGACCAACAGAGACCCATCAGAGTGGTTCTGACCAACGGCGTGGCTGGTGTTGGAAAAACCTTCTCAGTGCAGAAGTTCACTCTGGACTGGGCAGAGGGCTTGGAGAACCAACATGTCAGTGTGGTGGTTCTGCTTTCATTCAGGGAGCTGAACCTGATCAGAGAGGAGCAGTACAGTCTTCTGGAGCTGCTCCATGTTTTCCATCCAACATTACAGAAGGTCTCAGCAGAGAAGCTGGCTGTCTCTCAGCTTTTGTTCATCTTTGACGGCCTGGATGAAAGCAGACTTTCATTGGATTTCACCAACAGGAAGCTGCTGTCTGATGTCACACAGAAGTCATCAGTCAGCCAGCTGCTGACAAACCTCATCCAGGGGAATCTGCTTCCCTCGGCTCTCGTCTGGATAACTTCCCGACCTGCAGCAGCCAATCAGATCCCTCCTACATGTGTTGACAGGCTAACAGAAGTACGAGGCTTCACTGACGCCCAGAAGGAGGAGTACTTCAGGAAGAGATTCAGTGATGAAGAGCTGTCCAGCAGAATCATCTCCCACATGAAGACATCCAGGAGCCTCCACATCATGTGTAGCATCCCAGTCTTCTGCTGGATCACTGCTACAGTTCTGGAGCACATGTTGACTACAGAGCAGAGAGGAGAGCTGCCCAAGACCCTGACTGACATGTACTCACACTTCCTGCTGGTTCAGACAAAGAGGAAGAAGAACAAGTACCATGAGGGACATGAGACGAGTCCACAGGAGCTGACGGAGGCTGACAGGGAAGTTCTTCTGAAGCTGGGGATGCTGGCGTTTGAACATATGGAGAAAGGAAACATCATGTTCTACCAAGAAGACCTGGAGCAGTGTGGTCTGGATGTGACAGAGGCCTCGGTGTACTCAGGAGTTTGTACAGAGATCTTCACAAGAGAGTTTGTGATCTTCCAGAAACCAGTCTACTGCTTTGTTCATCTGAGCATCCAGGAGTTTCTGGCTGCTGTCTACAAGTTCCACTGTCTCACCAGCAGGAAGACTGAGGTGGTGAAGAACTTCCTGGAAAATAATCCAGATGATCCTTACTATTACATTTCATTTTCTGATGATTTGCTTATGAGAGCCATGCAGAAATCCCTCCAGAGTAAAAATGGCCACCTGGACCTGTTTGTTCGCTTCCTTCATGGCCTCTGTCTGGAGTCCAACCAGAGACTCTTAGCAGGTCTGCTGGGTCAGACAGAGATCGGTCCAGAAACCATCCAGAGTGTCATCAACAATCTGAAGGAGATGAACAGTGAAGATGATGTTGATTATGTTGATGATGAAATCTCTCCTGACAGAAGCATCAACATCTTCCACTGTCTGATGGAGATGAACGACCTCTCAGTACATCAGGAGATCCAAGAGTTCCTGAAGTCAGAGAACAGATCAGAGAGACTCTCTGAGATCCACTGCTCAGCTCTGGCCTTCATGCTGCAGATGTCAGAGGAGGTTCTGGATGAGTTGGACCTGCAGAAGTACAACACATCAACAGGGGAGGGGACGACTGAGACTGATTCCAGCTGTGAGGAACTGCAGAAAGGCTCGGTGAGTCCAGATGTGATCATTAACATCATTGATCAGTGTAGATCAGTAGTTTAGTTCTTCAGATACACACAGCACTAAACGACTCTCAGTAGTTTCTCAGATAAAATAATATTTTGTGTTGATCAGAAATGTGTGTGTGCACTCAGCATGATGCTGCTTTGGTAGTCGTACACTGTGTGTTGTAGACTCACATCTACATGTAGTACCTGTGTGGTGTCATTAGGGGGCAGTATTTTAATCTGCTGCTGTTGGTCATTCAAACGCTGCTGTTAGAGACAGAAATAAGAATCTGTGGAGAGCTTCTTTGTAGTGAACTCTGATGTTACAGACAGAACTACAGACACAGAGTTTAGTGGCACAAACATGGGGAGTGAGGATGAAGGTGCTGAGGAAGACTCTGGTTCAGTGTGATGTCCTGATGAGTGACAGAGCTGTGGTTCAGAGTGGGGCTCAGAGGTGAACCAGCTGTGCTCTGCCCACAGTGGGACAAACTGAGTGAGAAGACTCTGCAGACATCTGAACATGTGTCAGATGTGTGAGCTAACGCTGATGTGACAGCAGCTCATGGATTCACTCTCATTCCTGCTGCTGCTCCTAATGTCTGACTTCATGTCCTCATTAATCACAGAGCTCATTGTTCAGTGTTTAGTTGTTGCTGCTGAAATGTCGTCCCTGTTTCCACTGATATTGATCCTGTTCAATGACACGTTTCACATCAGTGAATATGTTGTTTAGGACGTCCACTGACATGTTTAAGTGTCCTGCTGGAAATCAAACCATCCATGAAATCCATGAAAAATCCTTTTAGTGTTTCTAACTTCAGCCTCTGTCCTCTCTCTCTCTCCATCCTCCTCACTGCTTCTTTCACTGATAATCACACAAACATCGTATTCAGCTACAAAATAACACAATAACATCATCTGCTCATCATTATTATAAGAGCAGGATCCATGTTTGATATCAGAGTAACACACTGCTTGGTTATGTGCAGTCATCATCAGTGACTGGGTCAAACAGAAGCTCTCTGATTGGTTGCTGACCTTGGTCACCTGTTTGTGTTGCTCTCTCTTTGCTGTCTCCATCCTCTCTCTCCTCTCTCTCCCTCTCTGTCTTTGTACGTCACTCAGGTCCAATGGAAACAGTGACCTTCACAGACCAATCAAAGACGAACTGATCCATGTCAGGTTATAACAACATATAAGTGAAATCAGCTCTGATATCAGCAGCTGTGAGTCCATCATTATTGTCCAGTGATGAGATTTCTGCTCCGTTTGGTAACAGTCAGCAGGTTTTTCCTGCGTGTGGACGTGAACAGTCGTACCTGACAGCAGGTAGCAAACAGAGATCATCTTTCCAGCTGGAACTCTTCACTGAGCTCAACTCATTCAAAATGTTCAAAACAGGAAACAGTCCAAATGTGTGTCTTCACTCTGACTCTGGATCAGATCTCAGTGACAGACTGTGGACATTATGGAAGCCTAAATGTGACACCATCTTCCTCCTTCATCTGCAGATTAAAGCCAAACAAATAAAAGTCTGCAGGTCTGAGAGAGACTCAATCACTGTGTCATGTCAAACACAGTAAGAGGAGCTGAAGCACAGATGTGAAGAGCAGATGTTCATCAGATTATGACCTCACTCTGTTTTGTCTTCATGTACATTCAGTCTGTGTTTATAATGCAGATTTTCTGCTTTTATAATAACACATTTTATATTTTCTATCATCACAGACTGACTCGGTGTGGACTCTCAGAGTCTCACTGTGAAGTTGTGGCCTCAGCTCTGAAGTCCAACCCCTCCCATCTGACAGAGCTGGACATGAGTAAAAACAGCCTCCAGGATTCATGGATGAAGCTTCTGTGTGCTGGACTGGAGAGTCCAAACTGTCGACTGGAGACTCTGAGGTGAGTTCACTGACTGCAGCTGTTGTTGTTTTTCTATATTTCAGGTCTTTGATGTTTGAAACTTTCTTTAGTTCCTAAATGTTCAGGATGTGTCTGGAGACAAATGTGAAGAAGTTTGAGTGCTTTCAGAAAAGTTGTGTCTTTCCAAACGACTGAACAACAGTTTTTCCTTTTGCCTCCAAATACAAGTAACAGATTTGAGCAGGGTTCATTTAAAGGCTGACAGAAGTGGAGTGGTGACGGGGAGATGTTTGACAGGACAGTGTTTCAGCCTCCACAGGTTCATGTTGTGCTCCATCAGTCAGTGAAGATGAAGTCTGCACTGATGAGGCTGTAGACCAGGGGTCCCCAATCCCAGTCCATGAGGGCCGGTGTCCCTGCAGGTTTTAGATCTCACCCTGGGTCAACACACCTGAATCACATGATTAGGTCATTAGCAGGCCTCTGGAGAACTTCAAGACATGTTGAGAAGGTAATTTATCCATTTAAATCAGCTGTGATGGATCAAGGACACATGCAGGGACATCAGCCCTCGTGGACTGGGATTGGGGACCCCTGCTGTAGAGTGTGTGAGGGATGTGAATGAGGATGATGAAGATCTGATGATAGCAGATAAAAACAGGCTGCAGAGACTTTGAGCTTGTGTGGAAACAGAGAGAAAAGAAAGACATGAATGTCAAAGCTAATAAAGGTGAAGTTAGGAGCTGTGATGATGTTCATGTATCAGAAGCTGATCTGGCTGCTACAGAGACGACCCACACAGCTGCTGTGGTGAGGTGTGTTAAAGCAGAGGAACACAGAGCAGCCTAACACAGGCCCAAACATGACAACAAAGCAGGACTCAGAGACTGTGAGAGGATTTCAAACAGAAGCTGGAGAAGAGAAAGGACTCTGTTGGACTACAGAAAGCAGGCAGCTGGGACCAGTCGCAGTGTTTCCATGGAGCCCAGTCAGAGAAAGGACTCTGAACATCAGCTTATCCTGCTGATCCAAGTCCAACACTGAGTTTGTCAAAACATGTTTGTCAATCATTTTTTTTGGTTTCTGAGGAAAAAGATTCAATAACTTGCTGCTAATACACAACATTTCATCATATTTCCTCATAAGCCTCTTTTGTCTGACCATTTGATCCCATTTGAATTTGCAATAAAGGATCCACAGAGTTTGGTGACAATGATGACAGTAGATGTTTGTGTGCTGGAAGCAAATGAGTGTGTGATGTTCTTTCAGTGTTGCACTTTGTAGACGCTCCCTGAGCACTGGTCTCACAGCCAGCTGCACATAGAGACCAGTGTTGTTAGTCCAGGTCAGAAGATGACTTGTTGGAATGAAAATGAGCTTGTAGTTTGTCTGCTTTAATAATGTGACTGGGAGATGTTGGACTTCAAATAAGTTTCTTTTTTCTTCACGCTTCACCTTTAAAGGAAAACACGACTTTTTCAAGTCTTTGTCCTGTTTTTATGATAAACGTGGGACTTGAATGTGAAACATTCAGTTTTTTCTCTTGTTGTGTTTGTTTGAAGCTGCTTCCTGTTGGCTTCAGCTGTTTGGAGTTTCCATTTTCTAAACTTCTACATTCTGAACCTTCTTCAGCTCTGAACAGATGATGAAACCCTGAATGATTTCAAGCTCTTTGTCTAATAAACTTACATCTTTCATTCTTTATACAGATTGAGGAGCTGTGGTTTGTCAGACATCAGCTGTGATTATCTAGCAGCAGCACTGAAGTCCAACCCCTCCCATCTGAGAGAGCTGGACCTGAGTAAGAACAACTACCTGCAGGATTCAGGAGTGAAGCATCTGTGTGGTTTTCTGGAGAGTCCAGGATGTAAACTTGAAACTCTGAGGTCAGTCAGCATGTTTTAGTTGTGCTGAGATGAATAACAACAACAACAACAATCATCTTTATTTATGAGCACATTTAAATACACATTACAGCGGTATACCAAAGTGCTTAACATAAGAGACAGAGAAGTGGCACGACTATTATAATGTAATATACAGGTCAATGCCACTAATACACAGGGGTAATATAAAATATAATAAAAGCACAAGGCATTAAAAATATGTATAAAGGAAAAATAGGGTCAGTGTAAAAGTCAGGTGCGAGCATTAACAAGCAGGAAAGGCGAGATTAAACAAATAGGTTTTTAACCGTGATTTAAAAGATTGGATGGAATCGGACGCCCGGATCACAATCGGAAGGTTATTCCACAACTCTGGTGAAGCCAGGGCAAAGGTCACCTCTAGACTTCAGCCGAGATCCAGGCTGCACCAAGAGTAACTGAGCAGACGATCCTAATTCTCTGGCAGGAACATACGATTTAAGGAGTTCCTTAAGGTAGCTCGGTGCTGTGTTGTTGGTAATTTTAAACGTAAGCAGCAGTATTTTAAATTGGATGCGGTATTTATTGGGTAGCCAATGCAGGTCAGCTAGAACAGGGGTGATACAGGCAAACTTCCCATTTCTGGTCAGAATGCATGCCGCAGCATTTTGGTCCTTTTGCAGTCTATGAAGGAGGGCAGAATGAAGACCAAAATAAAGTGAGTTGCAGTAATCCAACCTTGAGGTCACAAAGGTGTGGATGAGCTTTTCCAGGTCCTTATGCAGAACATACTGCCTAGAATTAGAGATGAGACGGAGTTGGTAGAAACTAGATCTAACTACAGCAGACACTTGTTTATCGAGTTTAACGAGCTGTCAAGCAACACGCCCAGATTGCTAACAGTGTCAGAAAGGGAGCTGGTAAGGGAACCAAAGGCATCACGAAGTTGGCCACGAGGAACGTTGCTGCCAAACACCACGATTTCAGTTTTCTTGTCATTTAGGATAAGAGAGTTTGCTAGGAGCCATTCTTTGACCTCGCGCATTCACTCTTGGAAACAGTGTAAGGACAAAGCAAGATCATCATTTAGTTCAAAGTAGATCTGTATATCGTCAGCATAGCAGTGGAAAGCGGTGCGGTATTTCTCAAAGATTGTGCTTAGAGGGAGCATATACAGTGAGAAAGGAATAGGGCCCAACACAGATCCTTGAGGCACGCCACAGCAGACAGGTGCAGCGGAAGAAGAGCAAGTGCCCAGGTTGACAGAGAAGAACCTATTGGAGAGGTATGATTTAAACCAATCAAGGGCAACACCTTTAATGCCTACAGTGTGCTCAAGCCTCGCTAATAAGATGTTGTGATCCATATCGAAGGCCGAGGATGAATCCAATAAAACTAGGACCGCAGAGCGTCCATTATCAGCAATTAGAAGAAGATCGTTAAGGACTCTAAGCAACGCTGTTTCAGTGCTATGATGTGGTTTGAAGGCAGACTGGAATTTATCATTAATGTCGTTCTTATCCACGTAGGATTTCATAAGATAACTGGAGTTTATCTTTTCTCCACCTCCTCTCATCGCGGCGACACACACATCGTAAGGCACGTGTAGAGTTGTTTAACCAACATTGAGAATAAGTTCTAGGGCGCTTCATTTTAATAGGTGCAACAGTGTCAAGGATAGAGGAGCATATGGTGTTGGCAAAGTCCTCAGAGATGACTGAGAGGCAGAACAATCAAATGTAGTGGATGCAGAATTCAAAAAAGAAGCAGAAAAATTTGCCACAGTTTCAGCATTAACTGTACGCATAGGGCGAAGGAGGGCCTCAAGTTCAGTATTACCTAAGTCAACATCAAAGATGACCGGGGAGTGGTCAGAGAACCCAGCATTGTTTATATCCTTGATGCAAATGTCCAAGCCATATGAGAAGACCAGGTCAAGGGTATGGCCTTTAGCATCATACCCTTGCCTTGGGTTGGTTCATTAACCCACTGAATGAGGTTAAATGATTCAGTTAATGCAAGAAAATCTTTAGATAATGGGTCGTTCTTACAGCAGACATGTATATTAAAATCACCAGTAATAAGAACACAGCCATATTGAAAAAGAACAGATCCTAAAATGTCAGCGAGTTCAGAGATGAAAGTCTTGTTGTATTTAGGCGGACGATAGACCACAACACACCGAGTAGTCAAAGAGTCAGTCGTCTCCAGTAGCTGTGCTTCAAAGCTAGGGTAGGTAGGGAGGGTAGCAGCCAAACTTTGTTTTTAAAAACCGAAGCTAAGCCACCACCTCTGCCAGTGAGCCTCGGCGAGCTACAAAAGACACAGTCTGCAGGGAGAAGCTCAGAGAAGGGGATGAACTCACCGGGACAAGTCCACGTCTCCGTCAGGAGTAAAACGTCCAGTCCCGCGGCGAGGAAAAAGTCATTTAAAAGAAAAGCCTTGTTCGCCAGCCACCTGACATTAAATAAAGCCATCCATGTGATGCTGAGGTTGTTGTGATGGATGCCACGACCGGAAGATGTTATCCAGGACCGAACAGGGAGGCAAGCCACTGGAAGGGCTGGGTAGGTTTGAAAACCAGCGGGGCAGATCCAGCGGTGGCTCAGCAGTTTAGCATCAGGGCGGCCTCTGCAGGAGGGGATAAAGCGTAGAATATCCCGGCTTGCATATGGATCATCCGTAACCTTGGCTTTGAGGTAAGCCTTAAAACAGACGCGAAAACCACTCCTTTTACCCCGTTTCCTGTAACGTTTCCTGTGCAGGTTGGAGTGAGGTAGGCAGGACATACTGGTGAGGGAGTCTGGCCATAGAGGGGTGGCATCACCCAGGGTCCAACATGGATCCAGGCGATGGGAGTAAGAGAATCGGAGATTCAAAAGCATATGTCTGTCGTAAGTTATTAGTGCACAGCCACCTAGTGAGCATAAAACCAAAAGCAAAACAATAAGGAGTACTAAGCCAAGGCGCAGACGAGGATGGCGTGCCATACACACCGGCGCCATCTTTTGGCATGATGTGAAAGTTGTGCTGACACTAAACTGCAGGACTCAGGCTGATATTATACTGATCCACACTGAGGATCTTCATGGTAAAGTCTGTGTTGTTAGTCCAAATCAGATTAATCCAGTCACACAGGATGAGAATAATGCGATGAGAGTGACGCAGGTAAAGATAAGGTTAACAGCTGTTCCTCCTTTAATGTGTAGAGTCGACAAAAAAAGACTGGAGAAATGCTACATGGCTAACCTGAAGCTAACCTGAGAAACAGTACTGATGATTCCTACAAAGTGTTTAGAGTGGAGTTTGGTAGTACTGTGTGTGCACAGATGGACAAGCCACCCTCAGTAGTACTGACATGTAAGAAATGTGTCGTCATGACTACAACTAACCTAAATCTAAGTGAATAATTCTGTCTGAACCCGAACAAACTGGAAATGAAAGATATGGAAAAATCAAATAACTTCTGTGAGCGTCTCTGCTCTAAAGTGTTTCTGCCACAAAGAGCTGAAGGCCAACTTCTCCTACTGCTTCCTTTGGCAAAACCATGACATCAGAGCTAGGTGATTGGTCAGTTTCATGATGGTCCTGAAAGAACATTAACGATGATGTTAATTAATTCTGATGTACAAACAGCAGCAGCACAGTAAGTCTGCATTTGTCCTGCAGTTTCAGTCCAACACTGAGAGTCTGTTACTGGAGCAGTTTGGCCCTCAGCACTTAAATGACCACCTCTGGATGTTCAGTGTTGAGAGTGTAGAGCGGTCGAGCTCCTGAGGAGCAGCCTTTAACAGTTTAAACTGATCCAGGATCTGTTTGTTCCTCCAGCTCCCTCTGATACAGAGCTCCCCAGGATATCTGCTTTATCAAGAAAACTCTGAAAGGTTTGTCCAACATTTCAGAGAATATCTCTGAAGCAGAAGCTTAAACATAATTGAACAAAACCAACAACAAAAATGTTATTCATGCAAGTAGAGCTTTACAGTACTCTTACCTGCTCAGTGTAAACACATTGATATATTTTCCATGGCAGAAAGCAGTTCTGGTAACCATTTCAATATGATTATTAAAGACTTGTTTCAGAGACAGGGATGATATGAACAAAGTTTCTGTCTCTAACCTTTTGGACAGACAACACGTTTTTGTTTCCTGAGCTCCATCAGCTAATGTTATCAGTGCACCTTATTTCCTAAGAAGGAGTTGGATTGTTAGAGGAAAGTCACAAGTATCACTGTGTATCCTCTTCATTTAAGTGGTAGATTATGTTGATTCTTTATGATCGAATTACATTTAACAACTAGCAACAAGCAGAAACAAATAGAAGTTAAACAGTAACTGACCAAAAGACCTTAAGGAACCCTCATTGTGTTTTTCATTACATCTAAAACTACTTGTTGAAACTTAGAAATGTCTCCCCTTTGGGTATAATGGAAACCAGTCTACAACCTTATCTGTTAAACTAACTGGATCATGAAGTCTTAAGATGTCCAGATCTACCGAGTTAAAGGTAGCAGTGAGATGAAGCAGGACTGTGATGTAGTCACAAATCTCTGAATTTCTTTAAAACAGAGATTAAAGGAAAACATTTGATTAGATTTTTATTGAGACTATATTTTCTTTATTCAGACTGAGTCAAAGCTTTTTGTTGTAGAAGACAAACACATTGTGATTACTCTAATATTAGATCATGTGTTCAGCTGTTTGGAGTATGTTTCGTATCTAAGCTTTGATTTGACTTGATGTCAGCAGAAGACTGATGTGACGATGAACAAATAGATTTAAGTTCTACTAACGTTTTCAATTCTTTTACGTGATTCTGTGTTGTTGGCGGTTTGTGTGGTGTGAAGGTGACGTGCTGCTGGCTGCGAGGCAAACTGCCCCCCGGGAATAAGAAAGTTTATCTCGACTTTGACCTTGTTTTACAACAACAGAATGATGAGTGTGTCTGATCATGTTTGAGAGAATCTCCCTGATGAGTACAGATGTGAACGAATTAGGAATTTATCTTCATGTTTTGTTCTTTATTCAGATTGTGTGGATGCAGTTTGTCAGAAACCATCTGTGGTGATCTGGTTGCGGCTCTGAAGACCAACCCCTCCCACCTGACACATCTGGACCTGGGTGAAAACAACCTGGGGGCTTTGCATATGAAGCAGCTCAATCTTTTCCTAGAGAGTCCAGACTGTAGATTGAACATCCTGAGGTCAGTATAGAGTAACAGTGGCACTTTCTCATAATTACATTTAACAGGCTACAGTCCCACACACCAACATAAACCCTACACTGAGGACACACACGATCTTTCTCTTACTATTTCGGTGTGAACACAAACCTGACAATAGAAAGCAAAGCTCCTAGGCTCAGGTGTCAGGAGGTAGAGCAGCTACTAATCAGAGGGGTGGTGGTTCGATGCCCGTCTGCTCCAGTTTGCATACCTAATGTTGGGCAAGATGCATCCATCGGAGTATGAATGTGTGTGAATGTTAGATAAAAAGCACTTGTGTAGGAAAAGCATAGAAAAAAGTGCTTTGATGAGTCGGTGAATGAGGCAAGTTGTATAAATATGCTTTGAGCGCTCAGCTGGATTATAAAAAGCTCTATATAAAAACAAGTCCATTTACCAAAGATGTAAACCAGCACAAAGAGACTTTAAAACAGTCGAAAGCTGCCTAGCTGGGGTCCCTTAAACCACCTGATAAACATTCAAGTGCATGCAAAGCTGTGCCATGGGTCCTTTACGTCACAATCTGAAAAAGGTGTTGGAGATAACATTTTGTATGACTTGATCACAAGAGTTAAGATAGTTTCTTTACAACTTTCCTCAGAGTTTTCCACCCCTGACCAATCCCCTAGATGTTGTTGTTTCTGTTCAGTGGCCCTGAAACACTATCGTGTTACCGATTAATGAGAAGGTCGACATTCTGAACCTTCAGCTCTGAGCAGATGATGAAACACTGAATGATTACAAGCTCACTTCGTCTAGTAAACTTACATCTTTCATTCTTTATTCAGACTGGTCAACTGCAGTCTGTCAGAGATCAGCGCTTTTGTCTCAGCACTGAGCTCCAACCCCTCCCATCTGACGGAGCTGCACCTGAGTGGAAACGACCTGCAGGATTCAGGAGTGAAGCCACTGTGGGGTTTTCTGAAGAGTCCAGAATGTCGACTTCAAATTCTGGGGTCAGTCACCACATTTTAGTTGTGCTAACAATAAACAGCAGGCTAATAAGATGCTGACCGACAGGTTTCCATTTAAGGTTGTAATTTGTATATGAAAAAGTGCTTTGGCTCAGCAGGGATCAGCTTACAGGTAGAATCCAGCTGCTGGATGGGATCAGCATGTCATAGCTATCTACCAAACTGCTAACTGGGGGATTTCAGGCCACCTATGGATCATTCTTGCTAACTGTTTATTCAGCTTAGGCTCACAGGGCTGCAGCCTGTGCCCCAGCTGTCACAGGGCAAGAGGCGTGGTCCACCTGCACAGGTGAGTCCATCACAGGGCCAGCAGACAGAGAAGCACTCTCTCACATCCACACCTACAGCCAATGTAGAAGCACCAATGAACCTAAGCAGCATTTCATTGGACTGTGGGAGAACATCCAACCTCCACAGAAAGGCCAACAAGCTTCAACCTACAACCTTCTTGCTCTAAGGCACTAGTGCCAACCTTTTCCCCATTTCAGCCAAATCCTGCATCTTCCTGTTTCTGACTCCAGGCCAGCTCCACTAACACTTTCTCATCAGACACTGCCACCTAGTGGAGGAAGTCTTAGTTCCATTTGAAGCTTCAGATTACAGTTACTTCCTTTACAAAGAGGTGGAGGTGGTGGGGCCACAGCACCATCATCACTGAGTGCCACAGGACACTTAACCAGAGGTGGGTCGAGTAGCCAAAAAATGTACTCAAGTAAAAGTAGCATTACTTTAAAATCTTATTACTCAAGTAAAAGTAGCATTACTTTAAAATCTTATTACTCAAGTAAAGTGAAAATATTCAATTACTCAAGTAAGAGTAAAAAAGTACTTGGTGAAAAGACTACTCAAGTAGGGAGTAACTGTTTGAAATGTCCGATTTATTTTATAAATAAAAGCTATCAAACAAAAATAAATAAATATACAAACTTTAGTATTTTCAACAGGAATATATGTAAAAACATCAACAAAATAAGGCGCAACTATTCTAATGTCCAGGTTTCAGTTTTTCACAACATGAAGCTTTTTTCACCAAAACCTGCAGTAAATAATATAAACATATAAACAGTACAAACGATTTCCAGTGACAAGATATGCTGTGAACTTTATATTCATCTTTGCTCCAAATGGCACAGCAGCCTCAGAGAAAGCAGAACGAGGCATCTTCAGCATGTGTTCATACAAGGCAGCTCAGGTTACCATAAGTTGTATGGGTGTGCATCTATTTCTGCATATTTAAATGTGCCCTTTCTTCACTCAGTGAGGAGATGGTTCAGCTTCAGCAGCAGTTTGCTCTCAAGGTTCTTTCTGTGAAGCTGTGACTGTTCAGCAGTGAACAGGAGTCCTGCATGACTGAGACGTCCTTCACAAGCTCCAGATGAAGAGCTGTACTGATTTTGATCGACAGGTTCTTGATGTGAGGAACGCCATGCAATAGATCCACACCTCCAGTGACATGAAAGGTACCTCTCCAGCCCTGCTTCTGGCTTTGCTGACCCCATGGATCCATCATCTTCGTCGTTAGGCTGCTGTTTGTGCTGGCCTCATCCAGCTCTGAGTCTAGGTGATGTCTGATGAAGTGGAGACCTGTGGAAAGATGTTTTCAAAAGAATCAGGTCTGGTCATTATGGCGCTGTATACACTGCCAAGCTGCGGATGTTTGGCAAGAAGATTCGATCACACTGGAGATGTTTTTACTAACTCTTGTAGAAAAACAAAATCCTGTCATTCATATCCTGCACAAACAGTTTGCAATGAATTCCAGATCAAGTTTAAAATAAGAAGGTGTGCAAGGCTAAGCAGTGCTCGCCAATAGATCCTCCTGTTTGGCTGTTACTCTGGGATCTCCTCCATACCTGCTTCATGCCCTGGAGGACAGGGCTGTGGCCCCCCCACACCCTCCAGCAGATCATTACATGAAGGAACCTTTTAAAAACAAGCGCGTCCATGCTCACAGGTGTACACACGGGTGATCACACCCACAAACTACACCTTTTTGGCTCCTACCTCAAAGCACACTGTGTTCTGTTGATCTTATGTGCTGCACAATAATGTTTAACATTTAGTATTTACTGTCATATTCCCATATATCATTGTGATGTTGTTTATTCTATTACTCTTGTTCTCTTCTGCTTGTTTTCTTTTTTCTTTCTCAACAGGTGATCCAGGTGATCGATAGATGCTTTTTCTTTTTCTGCCCATTCTGTTTGTTTTTGTTTTTGCCCTTCTCCCCCGTCCCTCTTCTCAGCTCTTTCTCTTTCTTTCTCTCCTTCTTTCTCCAGTCAAGTCTGTCCCGTATTCAGCAAGTGAAAATAAAATAAACAATAAAAGGTGAATCAAATGGACCATTATGGCAAGGCTGGGATGGTCAGTTTGGTAAAGTAAATCCGTTGGGCATCTTTCTTTGCCTTTAGACAACAATTCTGATGCAAAAGAGCCAAACGGGACAGGCAAAAAACAAAAAGACTCTCAGCCAGGTTCCCCATAGCACTCCTTTTATTGTGGTTACATGAATATGCATAGGGTCATTAACATATAACATCTTACATAGGTATACATGTGAACAAAGAATACTGTGTGTGTGTGTGTGTGTGTGTGTGTGGTGTGTGTGTGGTGTGTGTGTGTGTGTGTGTGTCCCATGACGACTGCTGTGTTCCTTCGATTTACCCCACACCCCCCTATCCATCCCTGTGGCCTTGTCATGTGCCTCTGATGTTGTGATGTGGACATTATGTGCTCTCTGTGCAGAGGAGTTTTTTTGTTTCCTGTTCTCATTGCTGTCCTCCATAGGTTGCCAGCGTGTGAAGAGGTCTCTTTTTTTCCTCTTGTACTTTCCCAATGTTGTGTAATTTTTTCAGTGTTATTCTCCAACGCTGCCGGTCTCCGACTGTATTCCCTTGTGTTGTCTTGTTGTTGTGTGTGTAAGTCGGGGGGTCCTATTCCTCTGTGGGCAACCTGCATATGGCCAATAAAGCATTCATTCATTCATTCATTCCCTAAACCTGCTGGTCTCCAGCAGGTCATCAAACCAAAGGCACTTAGACTAAGAAAGATAAAGCCACGTTCATCCTACCATAAAACAATAAGACAAGGTACCACCTCTCTCGTGCTCCCAGAGTGCTCTCTAATGCACACAAAGTTTGCAGACTGGTAGAGGTTTGATCCTTGATAATCTACAACTAATTACAAAACTCTAAGCATATATAAGTAGATATTTCTAAGCATAAATGACAATCAACAATACAAAACCTAACAGGTGATAGTGTGGCCTGTGTAGGTTGTCTTCAGGTTCTCTGCTTCCTCCCACAGTCCAGAAACATACATGCTGGGTTAACTGGAGTGATTGTGAGCATAAATGTTTATCTGTCTCTGTCCTAGCTCGATGTCTACCTGGCTACATCACCGTGGTTACTGATGCTGAACCTATAACCTGGTCTGGATCAGGTTATGTTCAGAGTTTGTGTTTAAAATCGACTGAAGTGCCTCGTTTTCACTGATTCTTTCATTTACAGAAAGCTTTAAGTGTGATATAGATTCAGTCATATCTGACTAATGTCAGTGAATGAGGCCCAGCTGTAAAGGAGTTTAGGCTCCATGCATTCAGCTGGTGCTGCAGAAAAAGTAGAAATGTTTCTGTTTGGTTCTAATCTGCTGATGAGTCTCTTTTACAAAGATGGAACTGTAGCTAGTCCTGCTCATGTAGCCAGTTAGTAAAAACTCAAGTCACCGTCAGACACAGCAGACATTTAGTGATAATCTCCCTGTATGTGGTCTTTTAGCGCCTCCTAGTGGTGAACATGTGGAGTGTTGTTAGTCTGTGCTGTGTGACAGGTGTAACTATTGAGTAAGACACACTCAACATGCTGCATGCTGGTAGCTTAGCCACAGCTCAGGTGTGGAGAAGCTGAAAAAGAAGGTTTTCTATTTTGTAAGAAGGAAAAAACTGAGAGGACTGAGTTAAATAGAGGCTGGAGAGTAACACAGAACAGCCACAAAAGCTGCTCACACGGTTTAGACAGTTTAGCATCAAATGTTCTAGTGAGTTAGATCCCAGCTAACTAGCACACCAGCTAACTAGCACACCGGCTATCTAGCAAGCCAGCTAACTAGCACACCAGCTAACTAGCACACCGGCTAACTAGTACACCAGCTGTGTAGCAGACCAGCTGACTAGCACACCGGCTAACTAGTACACCGGCTATCTAGCAAGCCAGCTAACTAACACACCAGTTGACTAGCGAACCGGCTAACTAGCACACCGGCTAACTAGCACACCAGCTGACTAGCAGACCAGCTGACTACCGAACCGTCTAACTAGTACACCAGCTAACTAACACACCAGTTGACTAGCGAACCGGCTAACTAGCACAGTAGCTAAATAGCGCAGCGGCTAACTAGCACACCGGCTAACTAGCAGACCAGCTAACTGCAGCCACAGGCTGAAGGACGATTAAATGTAGTGGAGATATCAGGGATAACACTGGTGTGTCTGATTCACGACAAATAAGATGAATAGATAAGTTACATATCCAGTTAGCTCCATACGTCAGTATAGCTAACATAAAGTAGCTGAAGATAAAACACAGAAAAACATGAAGGTGATTTTCCTGGCCTGGGATTTTATAAAAATATTCTGCAGTACACCAAAAACGAAAGAAAACCATTAATCAACATATGAACATTACCTCTGACGTTACAGCGATTTTATTAGAGACACGGCTAAGCGTTTTGCATTTTGCATAATTTTAAGAAGTTTAAATTTGTTCAGTATTGAACGGCAGAAATTAGGTTTTCTTTTCAGAAGTAAGTAAAAGGAAAAAAAAAACAGCGGCCGACAGCCTGTAAATAACGGTAGACTTATGCAGAACAAGCAAGCGAATAATACCCACCCCTACTATCCTATCAGTGATCAGAGTACTGTAGTATACTTCTACTACATAAACTATACAAACTGAACGGCATTAGTGTGACTTTAAGTTACCATCAGTACAGACGAACTGATGGTAGTTGGACAAAATAAAGGCTTTGCAATTATTGTGAAGGGCTTCCGCTTAAACTAAGATCAGCTGATTACCTCATAACAAATTGTTTGCTATAGAACGCAGCGCCCACTCTTCATTAATATCATGTACTGTAACTCCCAGGTAACCATGGTTACCCAGCCACGCCCAGTAGTCTCCTGAGAGACCAACAGCTGGTGCACGGTGTAACGGCGTGGCTTTCGTAGTCTCTTCTTTTTCTACAGCTCATGTGTTCTTCTTCCAAATTAGACTTTGGTGACAAACTGATGTGATCTCCATGTTTCCTTTGTTGGACTGTGGGCGAGTGTCAGAGCTGAATGTACTGAGTGACATGTAGAGTTTAAACATGTGTGAGTTCCAGTTTTAGAGCTCTAAAGTGCAGCTATCATGTTAGGAAGATGTGAGGAATAGACAGGAACACTGAGCACACTGAGGTCAGATCTTTATTTTACCACTCGCTGCATTCTTGATGTTCATGAATTCAGCAGGTTCATGATTGTCTGCAGCATCAATCTCATATTTCCATTAAAAGTGTTGAATTTGACTGTTTGATGTTCTTTATGATCTCTGGCACCAGTTCATCTGTAGGCTGAGCCCAGTCCATCCATTTAGTGAAATGATGTTTAAAGGTCTCCTTGTTCTGTGAGCGTGCACAGATCCTGAAGCAGGAAGCCTGGGTTACAGAGAAATGATCATCACTGTCATGATGCTCATCATCTCTGACTGGGATTTGAGGTTTTGTCAGAGCAGCAAAGAAAGCCTGGCTATGTTGGACTTGGTGTGGAAGCAGCTCCCAGTTTGAGTTCAGGAGACAGACACCCTCTCTACTTTGAAGATCAGCTTCAAACTTTCCTTTTTGATAAAGCTTATAGTTCGAGCTGGATCAGGTGACCCTGAACCATCCCTTAGTTATGCTACTATAGGCTCAGGATGTTGGTGGACCTCCCATGATGCTCTGCTTTCTTCTCCCCTCTTTTCACTCCTGGTGTCACTACTGCATGTCCTTAACTTTTGTCTTGTCTCTCCTTAGTTTGTGTTTTGTTCTTGTCTCTCTGAGCTCATCTCTTCTCTTTCCCCTCACCCTGCAACCAGTCATGGTAGATGCTCCTCCTGGAGCCTGTTTTCACTGGGAGGATCTTTGTGTCAAAGGGAGTTCTTCCTTCCCACCATCACCAAGTGCTGCTCACAGTGGATTGTCTGATTGTTGGGGCTTTCACTCTGATATTGGAGGCTGTTACCTTACTCTGTTAAACAACTTCAGATGTTTTGTGTGTCTGCAGTCTGTCAGGCTGTCTGATCACAGAGGAAGGCTGTACTTCTCTGGCCTCAGCTCTGAGCTACAACGCCTCCCATCTGAGAGAGCTGGACCTGCGCTATAATCATCCAGGAGACTCAGGAATGAAGCGGCTGGATGATGGACTGAAGGATCCAGGCTGGAGACTGGACACTCTCAGGTATGGAGAGAATGTCTGATAGAGGAGGAAGAGCTGGAAACACATAACCGTATTGGCATTAGATGCTAAGAATACTTAAGATTAGTTGCTCACATTGTTTGAAACCAAAGGAAAACCGTGTCAGCATTAGCGGATAATACTAATTCACATTAAATTAGCAGTTTCTGTGACGGTGTCCTACTTACTGTATTAGCATTGGCTGCTAATGGGTTTTCACCTTAATTTATCAGTAGGCGCTAACGGCTGCCTACTTAACATTTGCTGCTCACATTGTATTAAAGCTAGGCATAACGGTATTAGCATTAGGTCCTAATGAATTTTCACCTTAAATTAGCATTAGTCGCTAATAGTGAGGAGTTAATCCTTAGCATTAACTCCTTACATAGTTATAATTCAAGGCAAAAGCGTATAAGCGTTAGCTATTCACATAGTTAAAAAGGAAGGGGAAATGATGTTAGCGTTAGCAGATAATGCAAATTCACATCAAGTTAGTATTAGCTGCGAACTGCGCTAATCAGAGCAGTTAGCACTCAGTGTTGCCAACTCCTCAGTAAGGAAAATCGCTATTGGTTGTCCTAAAAGTCGCTAGAAGTCGCTGAATGACGTCATCGCCTAATTTGCATAATTGATCATGCTAATCTAATTGTAACCTACGTTGTTGGAGAGAGAAATAACATCGTGGAAGAGACATAAAGTGAGTTAAAAACATCCTAAATGCATTTAGAGTTTATTTAGGGGCGATCGTGGCTCAAGAGTTGGGAGTTCGCCTTGTAATCGGAAGGTTGCCGGTTCAAGCCCTGGCTTGGACAGTCTCGGTCGTTGTGTCCTTGGGCAAGACACTTCACCCGTTTCCTACTGGTGGTGGTCAGAGGGCCCGGTGGCGCCAGTGTCCGGCAGCCTCGCCTCTGTCAGTGCGCCCCAGGGTGGCTGTGGCTACGACATAGCTTGCCATCACCAGTGTGTGGATGTGTGTGTGAATGGGTGGATGACTGGATATGTAAAGCGCTTTGGGTCCTTAGGAACTAGTAAAGCGCTATATAAATACAGGCCATTTACAAATTAAATTTCTTTTAGCAATTATTGTTTTTTTTTAATGTCACAATTCCAACCCTGCTCCTCTGGTGGAGTTACTTTGTGTGTGTGTGTTTATAAGTAGTTTTAAACCTTGTGATCCACAAACAGCATAAGAGTAAAAGAGTAAAAGAAGAACTGACTGCGTTACAGCACCCGCTGCTTGTTGAGAGTCTTTTTTAGCGACTTTCTTTAGAAAAAAAAGGTCGCTAAGGGGTCTGAAAACTCGCTAAATATAGCGACAAAGTCGCTAAGTTGGCAACACTGGCTGTCGGCTGGACTGAAGGATCAAGGCTGGAGACTGGACACTCTCAGGTATGGAGAGTGTCCTCTGATAGAGGAGGAAGAGCTGGAAACATTTCCTGTCCTTCACTTCCTGTTTGTTTCCTGCAGATGAGACACGAACAATCACACATGCAGGAATATTTTCACGCACAGACACACTAAGTACATAGATATTTATGTAGGGGGTCTCCAAGGAGTCTGTTTGCAAGATCATTTAGGTCACAGGTGTACCTGAGATAGATGCCACTGTGTACCTAATAAAGTATAAGACATGTGTATGTTTCCCATGCTGTATGTCCACAGTGACAGAAGGATGAAACAAGGCTGTGAATCATTTCAGTCTGTGTGTGTGACAAAGATGCAGACAGGAGCAACTAACATTTGGAAATGGAAGCTTAAACTCTACATTCACAGCTGAATTTACAATAAATTTGTTCTCAAGTGCACATTTAGCAGCTAATGCTAATACTGTTTTCCCTTGCTTTCTACAACTTGAGCAGCTATTGCTAAGTAGGCCACTTTGCTCTGCTAAGGATTTGTGTGACCATCATAGAAACTCTGATAAGCTAATGCTGCTAAGCTAATGCTGTTTATGGGCCCTGTTAGAATCAATATTTCATTCTCATTCTGTTGTTTGGGAACAATATTAACGTCTCACATTATTAGAACACAAGAGAAAAGGGTAATAGCGTTAGCTACTAATGTTTATTCACCTCAAATTAGCTTTAGCTGCTAATAGGAGCCTACTTAGCATAGACCCTTTATATCATTAGAATGCAAGGGAAAAGAGTTACTCATGGCAGCCTATTTAGCGTTAAGGTCACATCATTATAACACAAGAGAAAATGGTATTGGCATTAGCTACTAGTGCTTATTCACCTCAAATTACCTTTAGCTGCTAATGGCAGCCTACTTAGCATTGACTCCTGACATCATTATAATGCAGGGGAAAAGAGTTACCATTATCGGATAATGCTAATTCACATCACCTTCTGTCATTCTTACAAAGCAAACAGTATGAACATTAGCTGTTAATGGTTTTTCATCTCAAATTAGAATTAGCCACTAATGGCGTATTGTTAAAAAGTAAGAAAAAATATTGTTAGCATAAGCGGATAATGCTAATTCACCTCAAATTAGTATTAGGTAATAACGGCAATCTGCTTTGCATTAGCTGGTTATCAGGCAATAAAATATGGTATTAGCATTAGCTGCTAATTTTAGCTGAATTTCCTATTCAGCTAATTTCCTATTCAGCTAAAATTAGCATTAGCCACTAGTGGCAGTCTACATAACATTAACTCCTCACTAATACAATGCTAATTCACATCAAATTAGCATTAGCTGCTAGTATTAGCTTACCTAGCACTAGCTGCTCACATTATTAAAAGGGAAGGGAAAAGTTTTAGCATTATCGGGTAATGCTAACTTGCGTCAAATTAGCATTAGCTAATAACAGCAGCATTCTTAGCATTAGCTGCTCACATTGTTATAATGCAAGGGAAAAGAGTTAGCATTACATTAGAGTTAGTAAAATTCACGTCAAATTAGCATTAGTTAGTAATGGCAGTCTACTTAGCATTAAATCCTTACATCGTTATAATGCAAAGGAAAATAGTTAGCATTATCTGGTAATGCTAATTCACATCAAATTAGCAATAGTTATTAACGGTAACACACATCACATTGTTAAAATGGAAGGAAAAATAGTATAAGCATTAGCTACACATATTGTTAAAATGTAAGAAAAACATTGTTAGCATTAGCGGATTAATTAGTATTACCTAATAACGGCAAAGTACTTAGCATTAGCTGCTCATATTGTTAGAAATCAAGACAATATGGTATTAGCATTAGTTACATATTTATCTAAAATTAGCATTAGACACTAATAGTAGCCTATTTAGCATAAACTTCTTAATGCTAAATTAAGTTAAGTAATGCTAAATTGGCTTAACTGAAATAAAAGTAGTGTTAGCATTAGCTGCTGATATTGTTAAAAAGTAATAAGTAAGACAAAACATTGCTAGTAGTAGCGGATAATGCTAACAAACATCAAATTAGCATTACCTAATAATGGCCGCCTTCTTAGCATAAACTGCTCATATTGTTTTAATTCAAGGGAAAAGAGTTGGCAAAAACATTGTTAGCATTAGTGGATAATGCTTATTCACCTAAATTAGCATTAGCTAATTATGGCTATGTACCTAGCATTAACTACTGATATTGATTTAAAGCAAGAAAATACGGTATTGGCATTAGCTTCTAATGCTTTTTCATCTTAAATTAGAACTAACCACTAATGGCATCCTATTTAGCATTAACTCTTCAAATCGCAGGGGAAAACTCAAAATTGAATATTAAAAGTGTTCACATTAGCTACTCGTATTGTTAAAGAGTAAGAAAAAACATTGTTAGCATAAGCAGATAATGCTAATACACCTCAAATTAGTATTAGCTCATTACGGCAACCTACTTAGCATTAGCTGGTCACATTGTTATAAAGCAAGAAAATATGGTATTAGGATTAGCTGCCAATTCCTATTCATCTAAAATTAGCATTAGCCACTAATGGCAGTCTACTTAGCATTAATTCCTCACTAATATAACGCTAACTCCCATCAAATTAGCATTAGCAGCTAACATCAGCCAACCTAGAACTAGCTGTAAACATTGTTAAAAGGTGTTAGGGAAAATGTTCTAAAACACTTCTTCAGTAAAGACTCAGAGAAGAGAAACACACAGAACTTCTTGCTAGCAAGGGCAGCCTCCACTCTAAGAGACCCCAGTGAGAGAACTGCCCTGGTCTTTATTTATACTCTTGAGCGTATGTGTGTGTGTGTGTGTGTGTCACTGCTGATCAAAAGGGTCATATAACATACAAACACAAAAGGTACATCCTTGGTCATAAAGAGGGTAGTCTCCCCCACCCTAGATGGCACGGTGAGGAAGTCCAGCAGTTAAAGCACTTAGACTAAAACAGACATAGCTACGTTAAAACAATAAAACAAGGTACGACCTCTCCCACGCTCCCAGGATGTGGGGGTGAACCAAGCCTGCTAAAAATCACACATCCTGTCACTACCAAATAACTACAAACAGCATCCTACCATAAGCAAACTTATATCACTAAAAGATTATACTGACTACTAAATACAATTTTCCATTGACAAAAGGGAAGGGAAAACGATATTAGCATTAGCTGGTAATAATTATTCACCACTAATTAGAATTAGCCACTAATGGCAGCATACTTAGCATTAATTCCTCACATTGTTAAAAAGTAAATGTTAACATTAGTGGATAATGTTAATTCATGTCAAATTAGCATTAGTTAATAATGACAGTCTATTTAGCATTAGCAGATAATGTTGACCTTGGCCCACTGGAAAAGTTCAGAACTAAAGATTTAGGAGGGTTTCTTGATAGCTCTTTCTCATTTGAGAAACAAATAAATTCTGTTATTAAAACCAGCTGTAAGGTTTATAGTGTTGATTGTCATTTATGCTTAGAAATATTTACTCATATATGCTTAGAGTGTTATAATTGATTGCATAATGATAGAGGTTTGATCCTTAGCAGTCTGTAAAGACTGTGTGTGCCTTCCAGAGTGCTCTGGCATGCACACACCACTTGGGGTCATGAGAGAGGTCGTACCCTCTCTTGCTGATTTATGGTGTAGGAGGACACCTACTCTGTGTCTGGATAAGTATAAGAGGCCTTTGTTAGGGGGACCGCTGGACTCTTAGCACCAGCTTTGGGGTCACAGGGTCACATCTGGAACACACACCTACACTATGCACAGACTGGGACTCTTTGTTCATACCTGTGTAAGACGTCATATGTTAATGAACTTGTGCATATTCATGTAAGCTCAATAAAGAGCAGTGTTACGAGGGAGCAGACGAGAGCGACTGAGGTCAAGTGAAGGAACGGCGCTGTCACAGTTCTCTCCCTCATCAATTGTCTGCTTCCAGCGGTGGGTCTGTGCTAGACGACCCATCAGCAGCTTTTTCCACTGGTTACCAGTACGTGGTAGAATCCACTTCCA